GTAGTACGTTTCCACTTAGCGTTTAAAATTTTAATCATACATATACTTACATATGTACTTAACTGAAATTTTTACTCTTCTACAATTTCCATCAGTTGATTGATTGTTACTTATTTGGAAGGAGAAATGTTATATTGCAACGCTGATAGAACATGCGACTTTTTTATGTTGAAATGTAAACTTGAAAATTTCAATAAAGCAATCTAGTTGATATATATATCTAATCGATTGTCTTCCCGCTTTTATTTTACTTACGGAGGAAGGTAGTGACTGGTAAACCAAGCGCCTAAAGGTATGTACGCAAAAACGGAATATCCGTATTGTTTGCGACTTGACTAAATTTTAAAATCCCCGATTTCTACCAGGCGCGCATAATCGCATAGCAAGGTGCCGCCCAGAAAAATGTCTGCCAACGCTGCAAAATCCCGATTTCTACCAGGCGCGCATAATCGCATAGCAGGGTGCCGGCCCAGAAAAATGTCTGCCAACGCTGCAAAATCCCGATTTCACCAGGCGCTCATAATCGCACAGCAAGGTACCTCCCAGCCCGGCAAAGACAGTGGCGATAAAATCCCCGAATTCACCAGGCGCGCATGATTGTGCAGTAAGCTGACGCCCGCAAAAATTTTCTTGTATAGTTGTTGGTAGTATTTTATCCGGAACAGTGTTGCCAGACGTTATGTAATAAAAAATAATAAAGTAAACATAAAAAAAGCTTTGTTACCAAATGTGTTTTTTATTTTCATAATTTTTTCTTTACGCATTAGCGGATCAATCAAAAACGTTGCTGAATTTCAAAACAGCAAAAGTGCCACATTTGAAACATATTTTCAGAATTATTAGTAGCACTTTATCTGGGCATAGCGATGCCATACGTCTTCTTTTATGATATTTAAAATTTTAGAACAAGTTAAAAATAAATTAAAATAGATCAACAAATTACAGGCAACGTCGAAGATGCTGACACAAAAATAATACACTTAAATCGTATCCAATCGCTCCAACTGAGTACCTGCTTCCATGGCGCTTTCAAAGGCAATTAATGTGGTCAGAAGGATTCCATGCAATTTGATCTTCCCTCATTTCTTTGATTGATAAAGCACTTTCCATTTCTAATTTTTTTGGGCTATCACTGAATCCATCGTAGTTCAATTTTTCGTGAAATCTACGAAAATGCTATCACTGAATCCGAATAGCTACGAACGCGGCATATACTTTGAATGCGTGGGTTCGTAGCAATTCGGACTCAGTAATATCATTTTCGTAGATTTCACAAAAATCTGACAACGATGGATTTACCGATATCCCAGTATACTCACGATTCGTAAACAATTATTAGGTGTTGTTGTTATTGTAGCTCTTTATCCGATACGCACTTCCATTGTTCCCAGATGATTTGTTGTTCTGTTAAGATATATAATGTTAGACATATCGAATGAAAAGCTTTTATTATAAATATACGTTCATTTTTATCTAAATACAGTAAACTCTTATGTAAAAATAATATTAGGTACTGTTGATTTCCGAGGATAGCAAGATTTTATTTTTTAGGTTATGTTCTTTCCTGAGTTGTCTACATGGGCTCGATGACCAAAAACAGTATAGGTCAACACATACACCATCTGTCTTATGATGGATATGAAATTACCTGAGCTCTTCTAGCACCGTGAGTTCGTTCTTGATGCTAGTCCTTTGTTATTTTCCAAAATGCAGATGCACAGGCGCGGTATTACTAAATCATCACTTTTACCTTTTTATCATGCGCTCATAACGAAAATGGAATGTTGCCAGATTGTTGAAGGAAGGTTAGTTTGGCATAAAATCAGTAGTTAAAATTTTTGTTTAGCCTAAATTTAGTATATCAGGTAAATATTCGATTAGGATTTGTTTTTTAATACTACTACCCTGCAAAAATCGCGACTACTCCATGCATACGTGTAAAGAGTACTCCCTAAGGACCAAGGAATACTCCAAAATTAACCACAATTCATATAAAAAATGTGGTCCAATTAACATTGCGATGTCCTAGGGCAGGACCATATACTCCATCTCTGCATTACATCAGAGTAGCACAAAACTACTCCCAACATACTCCAATGACATTATCGTTATATTTTTTCGTTTGTACACGCTTTTGTTCTTCACTTCTCATATGCTTTTTCGAAATTAATAAAAACCAAGACAAAAATTAAAAATTACATGTTCCTCTGACGGCATTTGAACCTGAACATGCTGGGAGCTCACAGCTAACAGCGAGCATCTCTACACGTTCAGCTACAGCCAGACATGCAAATGTGCTTTCAAATGCTCAACTTCAATCACATTTCGTTAAATCACGAGCAGTTATCGGGTAACAAAGAATAAGCTGGCGCAGAGACACGAGTTGGTCCGCTACAGCATGACAGAGGAACACTTTTGTAAGTACTCCAATATACCACAAATGGACTACATGGTCCAACGATTTTTGCAGGGTTACTTTACACCGAAGAAATATCCCGCAATATCTAGTACTTTCTAAAGATGAGAATCTTATGTAGTACAAAGTCGGTAATAAAACATCGTTGTAACCGGTTTGTTTGCTCATTGGTATTTTATTAATTTCCGCGTATGATATTTATGAGCATATGTACTCTACTCTCTCTTTAGTTATCCAGATAATATTCCTTTGATTGTTTGAAGAGTTTTAATGATTTCCTTTTTTATATTTTCGAAGAGTTATTAAAATTAAAAACCGTTTTTCACCTAAAAGTGACAGTCTGGAAATTTATTTTTTTTTTTACGAAATAACTGTTATGTCTATTAATTGTTTAGGGGGTTTTAAAAATTTCTTTGCTTTTATATTTTCGAGAACTAAGTAACAATTTCTGCAGTTCCTGCTGCGCCCAACTTTTTGAAATTAAGCACACATATTTAGCAGATATTAGGGTACTACGTAGTGAAATTTACTACACTTACGCTGTAGGGAAAATCTCAAGTTTTGAAATGACACCAGAAAACGCCGAAACACGTAAACATAATATTGGGTTGCAGATTATGCATCTGTATACCATTTTTCCAAATCAGGTAATTTTCCCAAGATATTTTAATTTCTATGAAAAAATTTCAAATTTTAACAAGGGAAAAATTAGAAAAATAACATATTTTGTAATTTTTTCCCATTTGTATTAAATCCTGTTCCTTTGCCAAAAAATCAAGCTACTAACGATCAAAATCAATCCATACATAAACATGTTTTGAATGTTCGAATGAAAATGTGCAATAATTTTTGGTATTAATTAGCTGCAGGAAATAATGTTACTCATACGCCATATCTAACATCTTATATAGTTCTACGTGGCGTATGGGTATGTTAAAGTTTGAACAATACTATGTGCGCGTGTGAATCGGTGACAAAATAAAATAAAAATAAAATTTCACTAGCTTATGAGGCTGGTGAAATTTTTGACAAACGCATAGAAAATTTGACAAACGCAAAAGATTGTTGATGTGTGTTATTTTTCGTCAAATCTAAGCCCCAAATTTAAGCAAAAATAATAAAATTTGTTTTTATTATTTTATGGCCTTATAACAATTATATTCAACAATTTTTATTGAGCTCGAGGCCGTTTTTAATGAAAAACTTATTGTGGAAAGGCAACAATAATCAATAAAAGTTTTTGAATAAAAATAATAAAATATTAGAAAATGGAGCCACCGGTAAAACAAAATTACGAAGTATTACAATATTTTAAATATTTCTTTTCAAAAGCTTTAATTGATTAAAATTAAATTGATCAATTGTAATATTTTATTAAGCATAAATCTGTGGTTATCAAAAATTTACTGCTGCCAAAAAAGATTTTATTTCACACAGCGGATTGGCGAAACTGTCTCACCATATTAAAAATATTATTCACCAACTTTCCCCACAGATTACAATTAAATTAAAAATCTTGAAACTATACTTTTAGAATTACACCCAAAACCATTTTTGGACACATAGCACCGCTAATATAAACGAAACAGAAAGTTTTAAGGAAAATGTTTTACATCAATCTACTAAAATTTTCTCAAATCAAAAAACTTTAAATTTATCAGATCTGCTGGTAAAATTATTTTGTAATGAAGAAGAATGATGCCTTATGAGTTCAACCGACAAGTCGCACACCGTCTTCAAAAGAGTCACAACTCAAAATTTGGCATTTTTGAAATTATACGCTAAAAGTGTAGACAGAGCTTTTATTTACCTTTCAGAAAAATTGTTGTTAAAATTTGTTAAAAAAAAACAAAAGGTAAAGTCGCCCTTGCCCATATGATTAGCATGTGCTACNCAGGAGAAATAAAGCCCATTATACCGACAGAACGAATTAGGGAAGCCAAAATAGATATGCAGAAAAAGATGACCTCACATTTAGACAAATTAGATGCATTAATTAATAAGGCCGATAATGCAGAAATTTCAATGTCAGAACAAACAAAGCAAATGCGACGTATGGCAAAGTAAAGTGGAGAAGGCAGTGACAAAATGTGAGATTAGTAGGTTGCTGATGGCTAGGAATTACTTGTTAATTAAATAATACTCCTAAAATGTAATAAGTGTTATAAAGTAGATTATAATAAAAAATTTGAAATTCATGAATCAACTGAATTAAGTTCGTTAATTAAATGAACTCAGTGTTCTACAGATTTAATTAAAATTTATTATAAAAATTGAGATACATACCATACATTACTATTAAGAGTTAGTTCAGTATGATTTGTTGATTTAAGAAGACGTCTAATAAAGCACATACGTAAACAGCAAATACTGTGAATGAAAAATCCCAAAGATGAGGCCTCTAAGCCTTAAGAAATGTTCACTCTCGCCTCCTGCTTTCTACCAAAACATAATATGTATATATATTATAAAAATAATTGTTTTTGTAGTACGTCTAACAAATCTAAAACAAAAATAATATTTGGAATTCTCATTACTAGACAGCGATTTTTTTTTAGTTAACTATCAGGTATGTTCTGCAAATCTTACGATTTCAAATCGAGTTACAAACTCTATTTCAAAGGATCTACAACAATACTTTGCATACATGCCTGTATATTCACATTAAAATTACTTCACTTAAAAAAACGAAAATCACATTTTTTCACAATTTCTATAGATATGTCATTAACACGTGTACGTACGGAGTTGGCGAACCCTTAGAGGCGCTGATAAAGCTGAATAGGAAATGTAAGCATAAATATCGAGGACCAAAAAAAAAACACATTATCTTTTCTTGTCTAGTTTAATTCTTTTCGTCCAGCAATTTTTATTGACATTCTGTAAATGTTAAGATTTCGAAGCGATATGAACACATTTTATTTGACTACAATACTTAGTATTTCAAATTATAATTAAATTGCAAACATAATTATACACTAAATACGTACATTTACAAACATATGTATATGATAATTTACTTATTGCTGCAATTAAACTTATGTATGTAGTATGTATACCAATCTGAGTCTACTCCGATTTAAAATGAGAGACAAATCATACTATTTAATTGTTGATTACAATCTTAGAAAAAATAAGCGCATTGCAAGTGTATGGTTATAAATAAACACGAAAATTGTGAATATATGTATGCACATACGTAGAAATGTATACATTCAAAATAAACCTATAACAAAGAGTTGTAAGCAAATAATTAAGCCAGTCCATCGTCATTTAACCTCGCTCCATTACTCTTTCTCTAATCTTTATAAAATAAGTAACTCAGCTGAAAATGGTCATGGGTATAACGATACAATTCGGGTAATAATAGCGCATTGTCATCCAATTCGTCTAACAGTGTGCTAAATAATGTGGGCGACACCTTTAGTACATGTATGGACATATCCTCTTTCCAAGTCTTCAAAAGTAAATTGTCACTACTGCCATCACTGTCTTTATCTTCAGTTTTGGTATCTCCTCCACCTTCATCTTCCGTCTCATCCAGTAGTCTATAAAGTAGTTTAAAGCATTTGAATTGCTCCAATTGTACTTGCAATACATTATTATTGTTGTGACTTCCATGAGCGAGTGGTTTGGTGTTACGCAGCACCTCTAATTTCTTTTCGAGCACTTGCAACAGCATATATTTGCGTTGCCTGTTTGGAAATGTGGCTTCTAATAGAACTTTGCAGAACTGAATAGCTGGAAGTAAAAGTTCACCAACAGCATCGCTTACTTGGGTGTCATCAATGATTTTATATAAAACCTGGCAAGTTGGTGTGATTTCCGTTTCAACAAAGATATTTGTTATGATCGATTCGGCTTCCTCTAAGCGCTGCTTTAAGAGCAGGGTGTCAGTCCACAACTTCACGGCCTTATAACTAAGCATTGTTTCCCCCAGATACTGTAAACATCGTCGACAGTACACATGTTTATCCTTAAGTTTTACCTGTTCCTGCACCAACTCCACATTAAGTACAGCAAACTGGAAGCCATAAAATAAATCGGTAATCAGGGGCACTAAAACTTTGTCGAAATTGGGACCATGATGGCAAAAAAATTCACTGATGTCGATCGAACCAGATGGGAATTCTCTAACTCTTTGGCATTCAAATGTTGTGCTAAGTTCACATTTACAATTTTTGCATAAGACTTGAATGCAACTTCCTTCTGTGACACCTGGCTTGGGTGTGACACCGACACGTCGTTCATTTTTTACTTGCTTTGCTGCATCCTTTGCAGTTAATTGATCACCATCAATGGTAATGGTTAATCGAAAGCTGGCATTACATTCTTCAACAGTCAAGTTGCTTATAGTGCGCGCCTCTGCGGTGAAATATTTGCTAAGTACAACCCGTGTAGCTGTTGAGTATTCACGGAAGGTCAGCGCATCATTGTCTACAACAATTTTGAGAAATTCCGTCTCGGTTAGACTGTGATCGAACTGGAGAAATACATTGGCACATCGCAGACTTTGGCGTACCTCGATACAGATGAATCGTAGAGACATGCCCTGCACCGCAAATATCTATTGCAACACGCGTCTCTTTATTGAAATATGAACTGTTTTGTATTTACAAAACTAATAATAAAATATAAAATTTTAACACAAAAATTGTTTACGTTTGCGATTTTCCTTTGTATCCGTTGATGCTTTGCAGACAGGGCTGCCAACTTCCTCAAACCTTGCCATTTTTTTCCCTTTTTTTTAAACATCAAATGGCACTTAATATTGCAATTTGGCACAAAATGCCAAAAATGGCACTTTTGAAAAATAGTCATATTTCAATACATTTTTGTGAAATCCTTTGCGAGTACTTCCTTTTCTCAACTAAAATTTTCTAGTTTCTATAGTGCATACGACTGGTTTATCTTACTTTGGCATTGGAATTTTGATCAAGGAATGTGTTTCTAATTTTAATGTTAAATGGGAAGAACTAAAAAGAATCGCAACTCATTTGGCACTTTTATTTTTCTATTTGGCAAACTTTGGCACTTTTTTATCCTCAATATGGCTTTTCATAGCTAAGTATAGCTGGCAGCCACGTTTGCAGTACGGAAAACGCACTTTTCGAAATATCTTTAATGACATTCGTCTAAAATGTCATGGGAAACAAAGAATTCGCGAAAGCATTTGTTTTTGCATGTAAAACGTTGCCATATCACCGATACAATTTCCTTTGCAATCAACAACAGGCTCATTCTATTGCAACAGACGTGCAAAAGTACACTGCAAGGAAAATTTCACAAGGTTCTTTCCCGTACGGAACGCGGGACCCCGCGGGTACACTAAATAGCTCAGAAATAATTCCCATACTCAACAAAATGGGTAATAGAGAGCGAAAATTGGAACATATTGGATCGTAGTGTCTTCTTCTTCCTGCCCGAAGCAGTCCGGACTTTTTTCCGGGTAAAAAGCATTTTAAAATAATATAAAATTGAAAATAAAAAAATTAAATTGTTCACAATTGTTGTTGTTTGAGAGTGAAAATGAGAATGTGTGTGAGTTGATTTTCGAATTTTTTGGCAATCAGCTGATAGTTAGGGATTCCCTTAAGTTCGTAAAGTATTAAACCGTGTAAAACGTAAAGTTTACGAGGCTTTTATGGGAACGCCCCTTTTGTGAGCGTCAATATTACGTTACCCGGCGTTTACGTGAGACAATTCTGCCTAGACAATAGCGGCACATTCACACTTTTTTTTTGAAGTAGGAGAAAGGGGAAGAATGTGATCGCCTTTTGCGAAAACGGTAGTAGAAAGCTACTAAGAAAGTGCGCAAAGTATACAATTAGAAGTAAGATGTGTATTTTTAATTATATGTGAATTTGCAATATATTTGGTGTTTTAATGAAAATACTAGGCAATACGTAAAATAATAGATTTTTAATTTAAGTTATTCGTCATTGCCTGGAACAAATCTAGAATACCGACCGTTCAGCTATGCAAAAACAAAAAATTCAGATCAATAGCACTTTTTACGCTCATTTCAACCATGTCAAAACCATTTAGCGCAAGTAAAATATAAAGACGTTTTAGAAGGTTACAATTAAATTCTTTGATTTTTTTTTTAATATTAATATCTTATGAACCACATAACCGATTAAAAAGCGTCACCATAAAGATAATGGCCCGTAGTCATAGTCAAAATAAAGTCGACTTTAAAGTTAGATGCAGCTTTTTTGACAAATATCCCATTGAAAATTATGTCAAAAAGCTGCAACTAACTTTAAAGTCGACTTTATTTTGACTATGACTACGGGCCAATCAATTTATCTTTCAGCTGATATACATAATTGAAATTGTTTTTTATATATTTATACCAAAACCACTAAAATACGAACATATGTTATTTTTTCATGAAATAACCTTTTTTGAAAAAAACTGCGTGTTTAATGGTAAAGAAATTTATATTATTTAGAAAGTACACGCTATTATCTTTAATTCTTTCTGCAACATTCTGCAAAAGTAAAGGAACCGATTTTATGTGTGGGAGCGAGAAAACCTTTCTATTATTGAATCATGGTTCAATGGGTTAGTGTATTTTGAATAAATTGCAATAGAAATTGAAGAAATTGTATTGGAAATAAAAGAAATTGTAAAAGATAAAAGCAAGGAAACTGTACGATGAGTGAAATACTTCGATCGCAGTGAAAACGGCAACGCTGCATGACCAGAACTGGAATCTTGTGCTACCAGATGTGTATAATTAAAAGGCGCAATGCTTAAAATCCCGCGAAGAGCTAGGAGTTAACACCACTGGCGCAGCCGCCGCTGTCAAAGTGTATATATTTCGCTAATCTTTGCCCGCTGTCGTGTCGTTGTTGGTCGATCAGCTTGCGTTGTTGTTGAATTGCCTATCGTGGAAGTAAAAGTGATTTTGTTCATTTAATTTGTAGTCCCCATTTGGTGTTAGCCCGAAAATTAGTTAAAAAAAAGCATTTACCACTTCACCGTTACAACACGATTCTTGAAACAAGTTGAAAAGTTTAGTATATATCCAAACTTAAGGAAAATGTGTAAGTAAAATTGTGTGCTTTTAATTAAATGCATTATGAAATCATATACACATACTACATTAAACGGAAGAAAGAAATGAAGACATCGCATTTCTTGTTCATAGCGCCTCTATACGAAACTAAAAAATGGTCGAAAACTCGTACAAAAAAGGAAGGTACTAAAGTTCGAAAATGAAAGTAAAATTTCTCCGAAGCTCCGTCAATTGAATTGCATACATACATATGGTTTACGTATCTTCCGTCAAATGCTGCGCCGTATTTCCTTTCTTTTTCCTCCGCAGTATCTACTTTTTTTATGAATTTCTTCTGGTTCTGCGCTATACTGCTTTGCTTAGATGACTTGACAAACAACGTTGACGACGACATCGGACTATAGTAGCGGTGCGACGCTGTTGTTGGTAACTCGTATTGAAGAGCCAATTTTCAGCTAGCCAAGCATCGGAAACTGGTTGCCTGCTAGCCTCTTTACTTAGCAGCCACACCCCCCGCTTGTTGGCACACTGCGCATAACTTCATATCCAACCGGCTGGAGTGCAACCACATCCAAGCAATATGTATACACAATGCTTTCATATTTTCGAAACCCTTTGTTTACTCACTTTTGTTTTCATATGTATATATGCATACATATGTATGTATATTTTTGTTGCTTTAGCTGTGACTACTTCCATTATAGCAGCGCGATCTCGGCTTAGCAGCACGCTACTGCCCGACTTCGCTCTATTCGTTTGTTTGCCTGTTGCTTTGCTTTTCTGGTGTTGACGTGCAAATTAAAAAAACTGGTTTTGGTTTGTAACGGTTGCACTGAGCAGTCATATTTATAAGTATATTTATATGCTTGTATGTAAAACCAAGCTCAAGCGATAGTGGAAACGGCAACTTGGTCACATCTGGGCACTGGTAGCCATTGCGTCGCGAATTTGTCGCTGCAAGTGAATTAATCACAGCATTTTTTGTTTATGTTGATATTTTCTTTCACAATTTGCATAGTTACATATGTACATATGTATGTACATAATTGTTTCTTAGTTTTAGATTGCATGCATCTACCATCGGTAGTCTAATATGGTCATATCCACTGCTATGGAAACACACCAGTTATGCATACTATTATGTTATATTTATCGATCCTCAAACAACTTTTCCTCCTGTTACTCCAATGTATCTCAATCGCATACGTACATACTACATCCATAAGTATGAACATATATACATACATACTATATATGCAGTTCAGAAATCTTAAGTGTCCTTTTCGATGAGATTTTGGGTTTTATTGTTTGGTATATAAATGTCGCACAATGGTACGAATCTTCTCTCGCCTGTTGACTTATTTTTGTTTGCAAGGTGATGCGTTTTTTCTTAACGAACAGACTCACTTTGGAATATTAATTTTGAAAGAGGACATACATATGCCTTGGTTATATTGCACGGGGCGGATCGTAACAAATTGCGGCGAATTCGTAAGGATCTATTGATTTTAGATGCTTCCTTTTTACATTGCGTTCAAGTGCATTATAATCGTTTGAATTCATTGCCCATACAATAGATAATTAAGTGACAGTTCACTCCGTTCCGTTACTTCCATTATAATCCAGGCAATAAGCTGGCTATTTTCGCTAAATAAACTCATATAGTCCCAGTCCGTCCGAGTTTTGATTTACTTGCACTCGAAAAGTTAAGGAATCATACATATGTACATATCGCACACCGTCTTCAAAAGAGACCCAACTCAAAATTTGGCATTTTCGAAATTGTGCGCTAAAAATGTACACAGAGCTTTTATTTACCTTTCAGCAAAAGCTGGAGCAAATTTTTGTTATAATTTGTTTAAAAAAAAACCTAAAGTAAAGTCGTCCTTGCCGATATGATTGGCATGTGCTACGAAATAGTTTTACGCATTTTCTGACTGAACGTATTATTTTGAGTTGTGACTCTTTTGAAGCCGGTGTGCGATATATAAACTGGAATTGTAGGCGATTCATTTATTCAACAACACTGCCCATATTTATTTCTAATTACTCGTGTTTTGCAATATGAATACATTTTAACTATTGCTTATGCAATTTTTATATTTTTTAATCAACTTTCGTAGCTTGATGTCTTCGTTTCTACAAAAAATGTTGCCTTCTCATCGCCCTCTCCTTAGTGTTTGTGCGTAGAGGGCAAAGAGAACGTTTCATTTTTCGGTAGAAAAGAATTCGGAATTAATTAAAAATAATTCTGCTGCAATTATGTAAGTGTGTAGGATGAGAATGTCTTCTAGTGCCATCATATAAGATTCTCAATATTCTAGAATTCTCAAGATCTTAAAGAATTGAGTTCTAATTTAAATGACTTATTCATGAGCATATGTTCGAAATACATATAAGTAGAGACCAACCGAGGGTAGATTTTTCGGAAGAAGCCGAACCGAACTTTCGGGTTTGATCTAACAATCGGCCGATTACTGAAGCCAAAGCCGATGAGTTACTTTGAAATTAAGTAAATCGATTTTTTTCAAAAAATAAACCCCATCTTGACCTTTTAAGCGCACATGAAATACAAAATGCGTAAAAACGATAAAAAAAGGCACAGGTTCTGTGCAATATACATAATAATTTTTTCGCGCATACCCTTTTGCTAGGTCTTTGGCCCAATTTGTGGTGTGCGTCTCGATGTTGTAACAAAAATGGAGGGACCTAAAGTTTTACGCCGCCTCCGAAAGCCAAACTAGTTTTATGATTTTTTCATGGCAGAAATACGACCAGGGGTTTGCAATTCCCTTCCGAGGGGCTATCGCTGCTAGAAATTGTACGCACCTTACTTTCGAACCTAGGTCCTACGGAGTGGTAGTAAGCACCTCCAACCAGTCAGCCACAGCGGCCGCCCTGATTTTATCACTGAAATACAACAATTTGTTGGTGTTCTCGCCAAGTGAGTTCGTTCTATGGCCGCTAGTATGTGCAGCAGAAAGATAATTTGCAGGACCAGCTTTAAGTAACTTTAGGGAATACTAGATTCCAATATTGAACGATATCAGCACCTCTAAGAACTCTTTTATATGTGCTTACATATATTCCTTGATTACAATTTCAAATTTCGAAGCTCTCAGCTGACAGTCAGCACAAAAAGGAGGTAGGTTATCAATTCGTCTGAATATTTTTTTTTATGTATGTAACCGCATAACTTTGGACCACGTTAACCGATTTCTATAATTAATTTCTATTTTTTTAAGGAAAGGTGTTACCTCACAGGTGGTTCTATTCCAATTCGGTTTAAATTCGATCATTGGATCGTGAAGAGATTAACGATAATCTTAAATAATTAAATATTTAGCAAAAGTAAAGGCATTCACATATCGCTCATTTACTTCAATGCGGTCATTTCTGCATACTTGACTTAATAAATTGTATTTTTTTTATTATGAAACTATTGAAGTAAATTAGCGATATGTATGTACCATGATAAAAATATAGTAAGGTAGAACCGCTGAGAGTCACTTTTGAAATTCTTGACGTTTCCAAACAATTTAATTTTTAAATTTACTCACAAACTCACACACACATTTTCATTTTCAATCTCAAGCAACAACAATTTCGAACAATTTCTATTTTTTATTTTCACTTTTATATGATTTTAAAATGTTGGCAAACTTCAAAAAAAAAATCATGGCCGACAAATTGAGAGAACGGTTCTACCTTGCTATGTTTTTATCATGGTATGTACCTACATATGCATGTATATATTCTTTTGCGCAAAGAAGCTAGATTCGTAATACTTGTATGTGATGGAATAAATCATCTAGAATTCAAAAACACGTTAACACCTTGCTTTGCGTGAGCTATACGTTTTTTATTGTGATAATTTTTTGCATCTCTGAGCATTAAATGCAATTTAGATAAGATTAGGTGTACGTTTTATTTTTTAACAACCTACACAAATGCGGTTGACGCCTTAATTATATCGTATTTATTTTCTAAGAAGTATACATACATATGTATATATGTACCCCAGCCAGGGGCGTAGCTAGCTCATCGCAACATGCCAACAACCTCATGCAAACTCTACAATGTCCACATTTGTTTACAACATGCAGGATTTATTGATTTTCGTTGCGCTTTCTGCAAATGTTGCAGTTTAAGATGACTATGCTTAATCTATTACAGCCAACAGCAAACCACTGTGTTAAGTTGAGACCCAGCATTGCAGAGACACATATGTATGTTTTTTTAGAACTTTCGTTCTCAATACTCAACCTAACTTCAAGTCGTCCTTAAACCTAAATGAGTATGGGGTACTGAAAGAGTAACCAAAAATCAAATCCAAATATAAATGCCTAACAAAGTTGTTATAAAAAACTCTTTACAAGTTTTGGAAACTTTAATATGTACGTGCTGCTGAGATGTTGCCCTTCTAGTTACGCCCTTTTAGTAAGTAGTAAGTCAAACTGTTCCATATTGGCAAGCATCTATTCTTATCAGGTTTAAGACAAACACGACGCGAGCTTTTACTGCCGGGTGTCTACGCACAACACTAGTTCATACATTTGAATATTTGCATTATGTACCTACATATGTATGTATGTACATATGTAGTATGTATTCATGTACCTTTCACTGCAAAACTACGGACGTTTAAACAAAAAGAAAATATTTTTTTTAGAAATGTATAGCTGAGTGTGACTTTGTGAAAGTACACTTTGAGAAACAGAAATAGGCTGTCTTCCTAAACGCGTTAATGCAAAACATCGGTGTCTTTTATTTCTGAACCATAGTAGATATAAGTTAATTATAAAAACAAATATTTTTAAAGCAAGCTTTCTAAATATGAACGAAATCGGACCAAAATACTGATTTCCAAATATATCGACTCTTGCGCCACCTACTGGCAATTTTTTTTATTGGCATTAGTCCTCTCCATGTAGTTAATATAGGTTCTAAATATGAACCAAATCGGGCTATAAATACGGGATTTTTTCTCATGCCCCGTAGTGAATAAACGGAAGCGAAAAGGGAACCGCTTCGGGGAAAATCAAACTCATGATAAGACTGAATATCAACACTACTATTTTCCGGAATAATTCTGACTAATTTTTAACAAGTTCGGACTCGTACAGGACCGCAACCTATGTACACATCCATTGAGGAATAACCTTTTATACATCCATCTATGCAAGTAAACAAAAAAACAACCACACTTGATCTAATGGAAGTACACAATAAGTCATTTTGCGCTGCTTTAAAGGAAATCTTCTTAATTTTCTTCAGTTGCCAAAGTCGCCACTGTCGCTAATTCTACAGACTTTGCTGCTTTGCGCACAGAATTACGATTAGATTTGCATTCACCTGAACAATCACAAAAGCGAAATGACCTTGGAGTTATGAAATTTGAAAATTCGTGTCACTCTTTTGTCTTGTGGTTTAAAGGCCTGAACCATATGTTCATTCGCATGCTGCCTGTGGAAACAAGCATGAAAATAAAAAAAGCAAATGAGAAAATAGCTATGCACATTTGTATGTATGTATGTAAATTGCATAAAACACAAACTACTGCCTTTATACGAAAATATATGTTAATATGTACATACATCCCCGTAGCGAATGTCATGCATTAGTCACTTAAGTGTCTTGCTCTACGGTCATGTAAAGTCTTCAATGACTTTGGGCTCCATTTATATGAAAGTCGTTCATGACTTTCATAAAAATGGTAATTTAGTCGTTGATGTCCTCTGCATGAATTTGTCATCCAGTGATCATTGATGACATTCGAATGGCAATGTCATGTAATGAACTTTTTATAAGTGACTGCTGCAAGACACATTGTATGTTTTAAGTCTTTGATAGGAGTACACCTGCATGACATTCGTCACCAGTGTCATTGTCAGCTATATGTCGTTTAAGATGCACAGTAAGTGATGTCACCAGTGACCATTTTCGCTACTGGGATATGCCCATATTTTTGAATTCATATGCACGCATGTAAATGTTTAGTTTCCGATAAACGCAATCAATTATCCATACAATAAAGTTCACTTTTCCAAATCTTCTATAATTATCACTCAACAGTGCCAAACGCACATCTAATTATTACATACTTTTTTTGTTGATTTATTTTTATTCTCCAAATAATGCATTGCTATGCATGAATAATCTGTTTGGCACCAATGGGTTGCCGACTGTATGCGTGTACACTGGGCGACGGGGGGCGGTGACCCATATAGTTGCGCTACGAATGACCTCCTCGATTCAACGACAACGCTTGTCTAAACGTTTACCGCCCGTTTTAACTTGCAAAAAATTCAAACTATTCGGCCCTCGTATATATTACTCAACTGCCGCAACTCTATTTCCAGCCAATTCCACTGCTAACAACCCAAATGCCATCACGCAACAGAAGTTGGACAAATGGCGTAAGGACTTTTACAGCGAACCGAAGAACATTCTTGCACAGAATGTCTGCTCGCGTGTGGACCCATTTGATGTTTGCTTGTCGCGCAAATCGCTCGAAAACACCAATCATGTATTTACTTATAAGGTGAGTGCAATTAAATTTGTAATCATATAAAAAAATGCTATAAGTGAAACATTAAATTTTCAAAATAATTTAACCCACTTTACTCTTTACAGGTGGAAAGCGAGGGAAAACCCGTTACTAATCAAAAAAGTTCCGGCCGTTGTTGGCTTTTTGCTGCGCTCAACTGCATACGCCTGCCATTTATGAAGAGTTTAAATATGGATGAATTTGAATTTTCTCAGGGCTACCTATTCTATTGGGATAAAATTGAGCGTTGCAATTACTTCCTCAATAATATTGTAAAGACAGCGAAACGCAATGAGGTCGTGGATGGGCGCTTGGTGTCATTCCTATTAAACGTAAGTAAACCGAGATACATAAATTCATACATATAAGTGTACTAACTAAAGATTGAATATGCCATATTTGACATTAAGGACCCAACATCCGATGGCGGCCAATGGGATATGTTAGTTAATTTAATTACCAAACATGGTTTAATGCCAAAGAAATGTTTCCCAGAGACTTACAGTTGTGAGGCGAGCATGCGCATGAATGCCATATTGAAAAGCAAGGTAAATAGTGTGTGAATGTAATGAGAAAACACTTTAAACAATTATTATTATTATTATCATGTGCAGCTGCGTGAATATGCTAAAGTATTACGTGATCTTTTGGATAAATCACCTACCGACGACGAGGTTTCGCAAAAGATTGATGAAATGATGGGTAGTATCTATAAGATAGTTGGCATCTGCTTGGGCATTCCCTCCGAACGT